TGGGGCCATGTCGTCTGCTGGTGTTGGTCCACTGTGTTTTCTGAGGTCCAAGATCAACGCAGCATCTACCAGGAAGTTTTAGAGACTTCCTGCTTCCTGCTGCTGACCAACTTTATGGAGATGCAGATTTCATTTTCCAACAGGACTTGGCACCTGCACACAGTGACAAAGCTACCAGTACCTGGTTTAAGGACCATGGTGTCCCTGTTCTTAACTGGCCAGCAAACTCACCTGACCTTAACCCCATAGAAAATCTATGGAGTATTGTGAAGAGGAAGATGTGATGCACCAGAGCCAACAATTCAGAAGAGCTGAAGGCCACGATCAGAACAACCTGGGCTCTCAGAACCTGAACAGTTCCACAGACTGATTCACTCCATGACACGACGCATTGATGCAGTGATCCAGACACAAGGAGCAACAACTAAGTACTGATGCTGCACATGCTCATACTTTATGTTCATACTTTTCAGTTGGTCAGTATTTCTAAAAATCTTTTTTTTAATTGGTCTTAAGTAATATTAAAATTTTCTGAGATACTGAATTTGGGGTTTTCATTCGTTGTCATTTATAATCATCAACAATAAAAGAAATAAACATTTGAAATAAATCAGTCTGTGTGTAACCAATGAATATAATATACAAGTTTCACTTTTTGAATGGAATTACTGAAATAAATCAACTTTTTCATGATGTTCTAATTTTATGAGCAGCACCTGTAAACGTTTGTGTTTGAACAATCGCTTTTTTCAATTCAGACTTCTGTTTTTGCTGCTTTTGCATTAAAACACTTCATTTTTGTTTTTCCTGAATCTGAAGCTGAGACTGCACTCGGCACACATGAGCGTAATCAGACGGAAGGCTACGGAGCCGAGCTTCTCGTAATCTTCTGAGTGACATCTTAAGAAGGCTTTGCTTTCATTCTGCCTCTCCTCTCCTTTCCCCTCTTCTTCGTCTCATCTAAACGTTTTTTCTCATTTGATTTTTTTCCTCCAAGTCTTTTTGTTGTCTCTGGGGGGCTGTCATCCAGAGTTCGGCACCGGCTGGCTCTCTCGTGTCATTGTCGTCTGAGTGAGGAGGCCTCAGACGGCGTGGAGGAACTGACACGGGGTCAGACGTGTTTCATCTTCAAGATCTCGCAGCTTTGAAAGTGAGTTCAGCTCATTTCAGCTGAAATTAGTCAAATTAATTGAGGAGAAAACAAAAACTACAAAACGCAAAAACAAGTTTGTGTTTGTCTTTGAGGCGTCGCAGGTTCTTCAACGTTCTGCAGAAATTACACCTTTTTAAAGTTCTACGTCTAGACGTAAGCCTTTTCTTTGGTATGAGCATTCTCCTGCTGTCAACGCCGTTCTCCTCTTCCTTCCTGTCCAGTTTTGCCTCACAGCTCCAACTTCCCTTCAGAAATGATAAAATTACATTAAAGATATTTATAGATGATGATGATGATGATGCCAGGTGAGCTAGTCTTCTGCTTCACTCTTGCAGAAGAGGTGAGCGATGGTCGTCACTGAACGAGTGAAAATAAACATTATTACCCGCTGCCAAAGGAGAAGCATGATCATGTTTTTCTGCATGTTTGTCCGTATGTTAGCAAAATATCTCAAGAACCACTAATTGGGTTACAATGAAGCTCTCAGAATGTAATGACAAGTGAACATCTGCAAGTGACTCAGTACGGACGAAAGGGCTTTCGTTTGTCTATTGTTACAGATATTTATCTAAAATTTGGTGTGTCAGAAGCTGGAAGTCTTGATCTGTTTTTAAAAGATCGCCATCAACGTTGCCTGTCTGTTAGTAAAATATCTTATGAACCACTTGACAAATTTAAATAAATCTTAAATGAAAGCAAACATTGAGTAAACATCTGCATCTGATTAACACCTGGAGTCAGTGCAATTCAACATGGCTGCCACATCCAACTGACTTCAGGAGAAATGGCTATAACTCAACTGACTTTTGCAGATATTGAGCTAAAAGTAGGTTTGGTAGTATCTGAGCACGGCCCCAGACCACACACCAGGTTCTACCTTTGCTTAAATGTGGACATTTGCTGTTGGCAACAACCCTGTCTCTGCGTTAGCAAAATATCTCGTGAACCGCAGGGTGGATTTTAATGAAACTCTCACAGTCACCATTAAATCTGTAACTCCTTACTTTAACCAACATAAAATGGTGATAAGTCAAATATATTTACAGATACTGAGATACAGTTTGACGTGGTGGTAGCTGAGAGTCATCCTAAACACATGTGCCACGTGCAAGACCTGGAACTATTGCATGGGGTTGCACGTAATATATATATTTTACAAAGCTGTATTGAAACAGCTATAACTCCTTCGTTTCTCAGCGTTAGATGAATTTTATTTCAAACTACATGTTTAAAATCTAAATCTGAGTATTTGTTTTAACTCCTCTCACGATCCTTACCTGCGCTAAAAAAAAAGAAACATCTGTCACACTCAGTCTGCGCCTCCTCTGCATGAAGCTAAAATAGCTCGCTGCACGTTTTCCACGTCCTGATTTCAAACCTGGAGCAGTTTAGTTTTCCTTCCAGGACATTTATGAATCAGACACGATTTTAGTTTCATTCACAGCAAATTAACCGTCCTGCCAGACACACATCCACTCTATGAGGGTTAAACATGTGACATTGTGTCCTGAGAAGATGAAACCCTCACAGCTGCCACAGAACCTGATTTATAGTCATCAAGAGCAGAACACGGTTGTCTCGCCTCATTTAGGTTGAATTTCTTTGTTCAGGAGGTTTTATTCTTCATGTCTTGAATACGGTAACACCGTCCACAGTAATACCACAGCAGACAGAATTACTGCCAAGGTTTTTAAAGTAAAACAGTGAATATTAAATTTTAAACCACTCAGAACAGTCTAGTGGTTTGTAATTTATTTTCTATTTAATTTTGCAGAATAAATCCACTCATTCAAAGTGGCACAGCAATTTGAATAAGAAAGCTCAATGCGTTTTTAGGTTTGGCTTAAACAGACAGATACATAAAAAAATAAAAATAAAAATAAAAATAAAAAACAAGTCAAGTCATTGTATTTTGTAAATATATCAGCTGCTGACTAAAGTGCTTTACATAAAAAAAGGAAAATTAATAAAACAATTCAATGCTGATATTAATTTTTTTATGCTTGTAAAGTTATAAAATCTGCAACAATAGTGAAAAGCTCAAATAGCATCAACAAATCAGACAAATAAAATTAAAAAAGCAGGATTAGATAATAAAATGTCAGGTGCTCTTAATGTTTATACTTTATACAAAAGTTTTGCTTTCTTTCATTTTGCAAACACAACATTTGACAAACAAGTCCAGTAGCAATAGAGCCCCATATGTACCTGGAGTAGAGTTTCATTCAGGCCCAAAAGATCCAACTCGACCCGGCTCCAGCCCGTAGCCACAGGTCCGAACCCAAAAACCCCGACATTTTTAATTAAGCTTCGACTGCTCATATAGTTATTAACGGTTGGCGGACGTGCGTGGTTGAGTAAAAGGAGGCAGAAGATCGGAGCTGCTTCTCCCTGCATTCTGCATTATTCAGACATGGACCCTGCTTTGACATGACGGATATTTTGTGATCTCACCTGTTTGGGTCGTCGGCTGCGTGCGTCCGCTGAGTGCAGCGGCTGAATGAACGTTCATTTGGGCAATGGATCTCTGGCAGTAGTCCATCTGAAGCTTAACAGAACTTTTTACCTCTTTCAAGGCCGGTCAGCGCACGGTCAAATGGCCGCATGTGGCTGGTGATGGTATGGCAAGCCATGTTGTCATATAATTGGATCGTCAGCCGTGTGTGGCTGCTGACGCAACTAAAAGCCGGACATGACCCAGCCCTCACATTAAGCACTTTATTACGGCCTGGCCCTAATCTGGGTCGGGCCGGGCTCTGGGTTCGGGTTAGAAATGACCGCTCTAACCTGGAGCATACTAAGTACTAATCTGTAACCTAAAATATACACTTATCAGGTGTGTACCAGGGATTTATCAGGTGTAAATCATGTGTTTATAGTGTAAGTATCTAATATCTAAAAAAGTTGTCAGGTACTTTTTTTTTTAACCCGTCCAGAGGACCTGACTAAACTTTTTTTAGATTCTTCTACCTGGATTATTGAGCATGCATCAGGATATTTGATACTTACCTTGTTCATTGCTGGCATGTACCTGGTACATAACTTGTACAAACTGTGGTGGAGCTAGGCCTTTGTCCAAGGGGTGGCACAAAGGTGGTCCAGGCTTTTTCAGGGGGGCACATTGAGCTTATCCCATGCTGATTGTGTAAAAGTTGCAAAAAAGTTGCATGTTTTAATAGCAACACTGTGCTCGTTGGATCGGCTGTAGTTTTCATTCCAGGTCACTAGCTGGCGCTGTGACTTTCAATGAGACGTGCATGTATGAAAGTATGGAAGCAGTTTCAACCAAACAGGTGAACACACTGGTTTGGACCAAGGATGAGTTTGGTTAGGTTTGCTCATCCACATTGAAAAGGGTGAGCAGGACAAACAGCACTCTGCTAGCTGCCATATTTACAGTTTATTTACTCACGCCAGCACAGAAATCCAGTGACTGCAGCCATCCACAGAACATTTGTGTGGGTTTGTGTTTAATTACAAAAATAAACTGAACACAGCTACTCTTTACCTTTTCAATATGTCACAGACTTGTGCAGAAAATATTTTGTGGTCAGATAATCTCAGTAGAAACGTGATAATCTAATACAGACGTGTTTATAGATGATTCATCAAATATAAAACATTAATTCCAGAAGGCTAGATTGTGAATTTCCAAATTAAATTTATTTGTAACATAATGGAATAATATTAGAGTGGCTTGAGGGGCTGTGAATGAAAGCTGTGACTGACGTGTTAAAATGTTTGCTGAAGTTATCTGTCTTTTAAAATGTAAATTTGTTTCACTCTTTAGCTGTATGAGTTTTATTTTTCTTGGTGCTCATTGCCCTTTCTGCTCCTTAAACGTCAGACTGCTTCTCATCCAAGGCAGAGGACCGTTTGTTCAGGAAGCTTTTCAGACGATACAACCAGTTCATCAGGCCGGTGGAGAATGTCTCTGACCCCGTCACCGTGGAGTTCGAGGTCTCCATTTCACAGCTGGTTAAAGTTGTAAGTTTCCCCCTCAGCAGAAGAACCTTTATTCGTTCTGTACGGACACACACCTCTGCTTGTCTCAGTTTTACTTGCTGTAAAATACTCTTTAAACAGTTATGAGTCTCTGTAGAGAGCGTGCTGTTACTTCAGGAGCGTCTTCATCTGATTTTTCATCCTTTGAAACAGAAAACACTAAAAGATAAGCTGCACAATGAAAGAGCAGAAAGTCTTAATTTAGTCGGCTCAATTTCACGCACGCTGAAAGCGCCACAGCGTTTCTACACTGCTCTGCGTTTTACCCACGTTAAGTTTAATGTATGGGTAGGGGAGTTAAATGTTCTCCCATGAAAAGAGATTTTCCAGTTTTAAAAGAAAATCCAGAGATTAGGAGAAAATTGCCTGCAGGAAGCTTTTTCAGATGGGACGGACGTGCAGCTGCTTGCTCAGCAAGGTGAGCATGATCTGAAGGTGAGTGTGTTGAAGATGTGGCTGCGGGTGCACTGATGAATGTGGCAGGTGAGTGTGTGCATGCTTCTGTGGGTGGCTTGTGCACAGTTGTGAGAATCACCAGGCTGCAAATCAAAAGTGAGTGAGTTTTACAGAGGGAGGCAGAGAGGAAGTGACATCTGTACCTTCATGTAATATTAAGCTCACAGACGACCTTTTCAGCTGAACAACTTCTGCTACAGAAGACACAGAAAGAAACACGTTCATTTTGTTTCAGACACACAAATACACAGTTTGCACAACCTGCTGTTTTCCTTTTTTTGTTGTGCTCCTGCAGGATGAAGTGAATCAAATCATGGAGACAAATTTATGGCTCAGGCATGTGAGTATGCACAAACGCAGGTACAAAAATGCATCACATGTATGCGTTTTATCGAGCTCCCAATTTTTGGAGTCAGGGCCATTAAAGATGGCTCCCAAAGCTGAGCAAGCTTACAAAACAAGCAAATAATAGCTATAGTTCATTCATTTCACAGAGATTAAGCTAACTGATTGTGCAAGATTTATTTTAAAAACTTTGCCATAACTGTTGAGTGTCTGTTAGTAAAATATCTGATGAAATAGTGGAGAGTCTTGCATAACTGTATTAAGAATGATTGACCAGTTAGGCTACAATTCCCTGCCTTCTAGTCTTTGTTTAAAATGCACATTAAAGATGGCGGGTGATGAGTTCCTTAAAAGGAAAACAACATTTTTATTTTGTAGCTTCTTTATGGAGAACCAGCTCCAACAGCGACACGGACACTGGATCCCAGCCAGGACTGCAGGACGTCAGAGGACGTCTATACATTGTTGCATTTATTGAGTAAACTCATAAACGAGCCAGCTAGAAATAAGAAATGATGCTCTACAGAAAATGATATATAATAAAATAATAAATACTTTTCTTTTATGAACTTACAGCTTCTTTTAAAATCACTGGAGAAGTACAGAGTTTATGATTTAGCACAAATGAATGTTTGATCATTTAAACAGATTTTCACAGAAGTCACCAGCTTTTCTGAAAACCGTTTCCAAACAGATTTTTTTTCTCATCCCTAAATTTTACTGCCACAATAATTGACTTACCTGAACATATTAGGTGTTATCCAGCTGATCACAAGGTAGACACATTAATGGAAAACTCAGTGTGGCGTGAAGTGGTTAATTAAAAATCTCCCAGGTCATAAACGAGTAATAATCCTCTTTACTAATGAATAAATTCATCTTGAATGACGCCCAAACGACCAAGACTAATGGATCCACGGCTCACGAAGTGTTTCATGACAAAATATCACGTGGACGCACCAAGCCTTTACTTCTGTCGTTATTTACTCATCCTGGACTTCCAGCTGATCTGCTTGTTGAACGTTTAATAAATGCACTTGTCCTTGATTAGAGAAATCTTTTTGTTTTTCCAGAAGAAAGTTCAAGAGTGTCTGAAAGCACAAAAAAAGCTCAATGAATCATTTTTGTTTGTTTTGCTCCAGTATCTTTACATGAAACCCCCATTTGAAGTTCTGCTTGACATGTAAATGTTTTATGAATCACTCCCATGATGTGAACATCTCCAGTGTGTTCTTTGTGATTTTCTCCCCCCTCAGATTTGGAATGACTATAAACTACGATGGAAACCACTAGAATTTGATGGAATCGAGTTCATCAGAGTTCCATCAAACAAGATCTGGAGACCTGACATCGTTCTCTACAACAAGTGAGGCTTTCAAAACCATCGCAATCCCAGTTTAGCTGAGATCCAACTTTTTCACAGGAGAAAAAAAATAAACTTGTGTTTTCTGTATTGGTGTTCTAAAACCTGAAAATGAAAAGAGCATAATATACCATACCATACCATACCATACCATACCATACCATACCATACCATACCATACCATACCATACCCAGGGACACTTTGGCATGTGACTGCTGGTGGATTCAGACCCCCAATTCTTGCATTGTAGGATGACTGCTCTAACCACTCAGCTACAGCCGCTCACAAAACTGGGCAGAACTGGACTTATGTGCTCTCTTTTGCATGTACCAGTTAAAAATCAGGCTGCAGCATTTTGAACCAGTTGTAATCGTGCAATGGAGGTCTGACTGATTCCAAAAAGAAGCGCAATACAATAATCACACCAGGATGTTATGAAAGCATGTATTACTGTCTCAAGATTACTTTTGAACAGTATGGGCTTCAATTTAGACAGTCGCCTCAACGAAAAAACCCAAAAAACAGCAATATAATTTAACAATCATGTTTCCATGACAGTTTAGCTTCACGGAAGGTTTCATTTTCACTCCCAGATTAGCAGCAACTTGTTTCTCTAACAGGGCTAGAGAGGTTGATACACTGGTTTTTGATCGTGCCATTAGGTGGAAACTACAAGACTTCTGTCTTCTTCTCATTGAAATTTACGAAATTTAAAGTCATCCAGTTCCTGACGTCAGCCAGGCAGTCTAGAAAACATTGGATAGAGCATCCACCAGTGTGCTTCAGAGGGAAGTAATTTTGACAATCATCGGCATCCAAATGAAAATGTATGACGTGTTTACGAAAAATGTACCTAGTAGCAGCAAGAAAAGACAAGAGGACCAAGAATGGACCCCTGCGGTACCCCCACTGAAGAGCTGCCAATGTTGAAATAAAATTCTTGATGCTGACACAAAAGATTCTGTCGGAGAAGTAGGACCTAAACCATTTAAGGGCGGATGTGATGCCCACCCACAACAGAAAAGGCTTAAAAAAGAAATTTATTTAAGTTACCAACATTTTGTCACATATTTGCATCATTTAACATGTAGTGATGTGCAGTATGTAATAAACAAAAGCTCAACCAGCATTTTAATGCAGAGGACTAGTATTTGTGGTCAGTTTGAGGAGCTCTTGTATCCCTGTGTCATTTCACCTACAACCCCATTTCTGAAAAAGTTGGGACTCAGTGTAAAATACAAATACAATGGAATGCAATGATTTGCAAATCTCATACACAAATATAAACATATAAAATAGCAAATAAAATAAAATCTCATCAGTTTTAGACAGGAAATAAGATAATTTAGATTTTTTAAATTGGGGTTGTAATAACAGACTCATTTGTCCTTTATAGAAGAAGAAGCGTCATTGATTTACTAAAGGGGTTATAACAAAACTCAACATATTTTATACTGATAATAGTTGCTCATAACTTCATATAAAAGCAGATTAGTATTGTTCGGTATTGCATCATATTTATTCAGTATCCTCTATTTTAAACTGTAATGAAGTCTTTTATTCTTCTTTTCCCTTGTTTTCATTTCCTCTTCACCTCTTGTTGTTGACTCCTTGGCCTTTCTCTTTTCTCTGTGGCCGGTTTCAAACACTGGAAAAAAAAAACCATTTGATCATACACACACACCTCAGCGCTGTAGGTGACTTCCTGGTGGAGGATAAGACCAAAGCTTTGCTGAAGTTTGATGGAACCATCACTTGGGTTCCTCCTGCCATTTTCAAATCCTCGTGTCCGATGGACATCACCTACTTCCCCTTTGACTACCAGAACTGCTCCATGAAGTTTGGCTCCTGGACTTATGACAAAGCCAAGATTGACCTGGTGCTCATTGGATCCAAGGTCAGTGACTCTGTCTGTGTTCAAATATAATTAAAGTGTTGAGAGTGTTTGTTATAATGTTCTGGAGGAGAATGGGAAGGAAAACAACAGAGTTCCCATGTTGGCACAAGACGGTGGAGTTTAATTTGCTCCTCAGCAGAAAGACACTGAACATAAAATCACTTCACTCAACTCTCTTATAGAGAAAATTCTGAGTTCAACAGCATAATGTGGTGACAAAGCTTTACTCCAGAGGTGAACCATTTTAACAGCAATATATTCATCTTCTTTTTTATATAAAGAACTGTGAATTGAATTTAACAAGCTGTCTTTTCTACAGTTTATTTTTTAAATATTCTTCCCAGTAGGTTCCTTTTTCCCAAACATGTATCTAACTAACCAACAATTTTCCATCAGGTCATCTGGAAAGTTTCTTTTTTTTGTGCTGAAACGTTTCACCTTCCATCCAGAAGGCTTCATCAGTCAAGGAAACACACAACACAAAACTAATTATTCCCCTAACAGCTTACTCCAAAGTGGAACAAACCAGTTATGTTGGTGCTAACATGGTGTCTTTGGCGCGCCCCCTCCTCCCGGCCGGCCCTCTGCCTCGTCGACAGTCATGTCAAACTGGTTCAAAACCAACAAAGTCCAACAAAGTGTTGTGTGTTTCCTTGACTGATGAAGCCTTCTGGATGGAAGGTGAAACGTTTCAGCACAAAAAATAAAAAAATAAAAATAAATAAAATAAACTGTCCAGATGACCTGATGGAAAATTGTTGCATACCTGGATTATTGAGCATGGACTTTGTTGGTTTTGAACCAGTTTTACATGACTATCGACGAGGAAGAGGGCCGACACCGGAGGAGGGGGCGTGCCAAAGACTCCATCTTAGCACCAACATAACTGATTTGTTCCAGCTGTTGGGGGAAGAATCAGTTTTGTGTTGTGTGTTTCCTTGACTGATGAAGCCTTCTGGATGGAAGGTGAAACGTTTCAGCACACACGAAAAAAGTTGGATTATATACCTGGATTATTGAGCCTGGACTTTATTGTATCTAATTAAGTACTTTCAACACTTACACAAATCTTATTATTAATAATAAATAAAAATAAACATTATGACAAGTCCCCTAGTCAGTATCAAAATCCAGTTCTTTAACATGAGTAAAGTTTTATCATTAACTTCCATTGTTCAGTTTGGAAGCCAAGGTATTCATGTCTTTTTAAAATTTTTTGCTCTTTGTTGTATGTTTTATTTTCACTGCCATATTATAATTTTAGAGCCAAAGTCTGCTCACCAGCGGTGTTTAGAGATGGTAAGAGAATGTTTTGGGTGTGTTCTCATGGTGATAACGCCAAGAAGAGACCACGAGTTGAAGATACTGGTGGAAACAAAGATCCCTGTTTTATTTGCAATGCACCTCCATTCAAATTCCATTTGCCATTAAATAAATCACAGACCTAAGGTTTTCTGAGCTGTGCAACTGCTGCTCCTGTAGTAGACGGATGCAAATCAGTTTTAAAATCTTTACGTGCCAGGTAAACCTGAAAGACTTCTGGGAGAGCGGCGAGTGGGAAATCATCGACGCTCCAGGCTACAAACATGACATCAAGTACAACTGCTGTGAGGAGATCTACCCAGACATCACCTACTCCTTCTACATCCGGCGCCTGCCACTCTTCTACACCATCAACCTCATCATCCCCTGCCTCCTCATCTCTTTCCTCACAGTGCTGGTTTTCTATCTCCCATCCGACTGTGGAGAGAAGGTCACGCTCTGTATCTCCGTCCTGCTCTCCCTCACTGTGTTCCTGCTCGTTATCACAGAGACCATCCCCTCAACATCGCTAGTGATCCCTCTCATTGGAGAGTACCTGCTCTTCACGATGATCTTCGTCACACTCAGCATCGTCATCACTGTGTTCGTGTTGAACGTGCACTACCGCACGCCGATGACCCACACAATGCCGTGCTGGGTGCGGTCTGTGTTTCTCAAAGTGCTGCCGAGGATCATGCTGATGCGGAGACCCATCGATGAGGATGGCAGGGCCGGGTGGTTGGACGACAGTGGGGAAGCAGGAGGAGTTGGAGGGGGAGGAGGAGGCGGAGGAGGGAAAGGGAGGAAGAAGCAGAAGAACAGCCTGATGCAAGTAAGAGGCCCCTTCTTCCAAACACACAGTCCACTTAAGAAATTATCTGGTCCAAGTTCCAAAGCTCATAGATCTAGATGATCCTAATGGGTTTATGTGGATGCATCACTTAGAGAAGGCATTATA